TAGCAGTGGTGTGTGTGTGTGTGTGTGTGTGTGTGTGTGTGTGTGTAACTAGGTGGTAAAGGAGCTCCTCTTTGCTTAGACCCCTTCTCCCCTTCCTCAACTAGGGGCAGAAGCAGGGTGTTGTCTGAGGTGGGGTCCCCTCGCTGCAGAGCTGGTTTAATTAAGCTAATTGGGCGCGGTGACATTTGCATAGGGGAGAGGCTAGCACCACTGCCAGCACATGGTGGGGGGGAGGTGGGGAGGTGTGTGGTAGCTGGGGGGGGGGTGCTTCAGCAAGCTTCTCCAGGCCCGAGAGGGTAGGAGCCAAGCCAGAGGCGCATTGCCCCCAAGGCAATGAGCCCATGCACCTGAGGGGAGTTAAAGGCATCTCTGGCTACTGAACAAGCTCCACTGGGGGAAAGGGCTCTTTTGGGATGAGATTGCTGGGGCAGGGGATCAGTCTGTCAGCCCCCAGCCGCATTGCAGGGTGCACCTCCCCTGGGCCAGTCGTTTCTCTGCACGGGTCAAGGTTTTCAGGATTTGGCTGGAGGAGGGAACAGTGCCCTGTGAATGAGAAAAGAATGATCCAGGCCTGAAGTGGGGAGGGAGAAAGAGCATACTAAGCCCCTGCTCCTAGAAAGAGGCAAGGGCATCACAATCAGGATGGGGTGAAGTCTGGCTGGGAATCACAGATACAGAAGGGAGTTAGGACAAGAGGTGGGTAGACATGACAGGATGGGGTGAGCACTGAGACAGAGATGGAACAGGAATGACATTGGGGACTAGGAAGGCACAGCAACAGAATTCAGAGACAAGGATGCAACAAGGATAGACATGGGGACAGGGATGCGGAGGAGAACAGAAATAGTGGACAGGCACTGGACAGAGACACATCAGATGTGGATGCAGATGGGGTGTGGATCAGAGGAATGGAGAAAGGGTACAGAAAAGGATGGTAGCCAAAATGGGGTAGGAATAATAGATGAGGAATGGGCATTGGGGACAGACAGGAATGAGATGGGACTGGGAATGGGGAGATGGTAATGGGGACAGAGTAGGGGTAGAACAGAAATGGAGAAGGATGGTTGTTGAGCAGAAACAGGGGTAAGGGTAGATGCAGAGACCTAAGATGGGAATGGAGGAAGCCAGTGAGGACTGGAATGGGAAATAGAGGGCAAGGAAAGTGACTGGAGACATGGACAGAGATAGAAGCTGAGGGCAGGTATGAGAGAAGCCAAAGGAAGAGGCAGAAGGCCAGGCAGAATCAGGCTTTGGGAGAGGTCGGGGGTGGTGGGGGTGATGGGGTGGAGGCAAAGATACCTTATTCCAGACCCTACTACAGCTAGCTGGGGCGGAGGACTGCGGGTGGGGCGGGCTCTGCCCTTGGGCCGGCCGCCCCTTCCCCCTCAGCCCCGCCTGCCCGCCTGCTCACGGCCTGCCGTGCAAGGCTCACCGTTATCTGAATTTTGATTTTATTTTATTTTATTTTATTTCCCTGCTTCCTAGAGCCGGCGCGGTCCCCCCGGGAACGGCCGCCCCCCACCCCCCGCCCTGCGCCTCACTTTATTATTGCAATAAATGTGCCTATAAAGGCGCCGGCTCGGGGGCGCGGTGGGGGTGGGGGGGAGCCGCGGAGCGGGGATGTAATTTCCCGAAGCCGGAGCCGGAGGGGGAGTGGGCGGGGTGGAGGTGGAGGAGGGGCAGGCGGGGGAGAGGGGGAGACTTGCCAATTTCCTACGCTCAAGGCCGCACTCCCTGCTCCCCATCCCTGCTCCATAGCTCGCTCCTCAAGGAAGCCCTCCGACTTCCCTGCACCCAAGGGAGGATCCCTCCCCCCATGACAGGACCCCTCTCTGTTACCTTGTTCCCCTCCCGCATGCCTGCCTTGAGTTACAGGGGCTCTATGTGAAGTTCCCCATCTCCTGGCCAATTACTCCATCTCTAACCTCTGTGAGTGACCCCCCCTCACCTGCTGTTGGCTTTCAGGAATTATTTTACCCTTCCACAATTTTTGACCCCAGTGGCCCCTCTTTGCCTTGTTTCTGTCCTTCTTACCTTACCTCTTTGTCAGTCATCTCTTCCTGGATCTCTAGTTCCTCACTCATCCCAACCCATGATCCTCTAAATTCTCCTTCCAGCCGCACCCCTCCCATTCAGGATGTGGGGCTTCCACAGGAGGTTCTGCCCCAGGGAACTGTCACAGCAGCCCCCTCCCCTGTGTCCCTAGCACAGCTGCCACCCCTGATTACCCCCAAATCCCTGCCGGCAGCTCTGGGCTCAAGCCCAGGCTGTGCGTGCCTAAGTGGCCCAGCCAGAGATTAGCTGGGGGGGCTAGAGGAGGGTAAGGAGATGGGAGGTGGTGGCTGGACCAGGGGCTGTGGCCAGTCAGCTCTGAAAGACTGGCTTTGGGGCCTAATCCTTCCCTGAGGCAGGATAGAGCTGAAAGGTCCCACAGGGCCCCTCCCTTGCCCTCCCCCAGCTAATTAGTAATTAGTGATTAGTGATTAGTGACTATTGATCGCCTGCTGCTTCTCCCAGTAGGCAGCTGCTTTGGCAAAAGTGGGGGAATCAGAGATAGAGAGGGAAAGGAGTCGGACACTATATTAGAAAGATCCTGAAGCAGCCCTGGCAGTAAGGCAATGGAAGCCAGAAGTAGTAGAAGCCAGAAGTCCCAGACCCTGAGAGACCAGGATCCTAGAGCAGGAAGGAAGGAGACAGAGAACTCCTGAAGAAAGGACTAGTGAAGAAGAGGGCTGGTAGTGCTTGATGGTTAGGGGTTTCCAAAGAGCTACTGTGAAAACTGTCCCCAGGAGCCTCTCATCCAGTGTCAGCCTCACCTTTCCCCACTCCCAGTGCTGACACTGAGACATCCCTGAAGGCATACCCACACATAAATCACATTCACATATATGAACACATCTGCAGCTTACAACCCCATACCTATATTCAACTGCACTCAAAACAAACACACAGATGCACTCAAAAACCCCAGATACATATACAGATGACATATGTGCCCCAGCATGAAATGCACCAAAGTCCCTGGGGCCTCCACATGTGCACACACTCTATTCACCAATACACATAAGCACATAGGCAGGTATTTAGACATGTAGACACTTCTCTGCACACATTTGTCCATCACAATTATTCATATTCACACACTCACAGTGTGTACACACACACACACACACACACACACACACACACCAAGCATAAAACAGATCCTCACATTCACACAAACTGGACTAAATGGCAGATATCTCTCTCCCTCTGACTTCAACACAGAGGCCCCACAGCTGCAGCTCTCACATAGATAGATCCCATCGCTCATATCCTCACTCTCACTCTCCCTCAAGTCTCCACCAGATGTTTCATTCCCCTTCAGGGGGCGAAGAAAATTAAACCAGATCTGTCCACTGGGGAGTTTATTTGTTGGGGAGAAGGAAGAGGAGAAGGGAGGAGGTAGAAATGAGAGGCAGGGCAGTGTCATCCCTACCACCTCTTGACCCTGTGCCTTCACACAAGGGTGGTGGTGGGCCAGACACCCTTCTGTAGACCTCTGATTTAGTGTTGGGCAGCAAATCCAAAAGAGTCTTCCACCAGTGGAAGCGGTTTTCATGGAGGGGGTTCCTCAAGGTCACCAGGTGGGTCTGGGAGAATTAGAGAGCTCTATTGGTAGCTTCACTGGAGTAGCCCCTATCTTGCTGGAGTTGCTGAGGGCAACTGGGCTGGGCAGGTGGGAGTCCAAATGTTGGGGGAGAACCCTTTCCAGACTCCATATGGACTGGGCTTAGGTAGTGAGGGTTTAGAGAGCAACCTGCTTGCCCCTAAACCAGGTAGGTCACCCGTTGAGGTGCAGGAAATAGGGAAGCCATGACTAGGGAGGCTAATGAAGGAGAGGGCAAGGGCCTAGGCCCCCTTTGTGGGACACACACCTGGGCACAGATGGCTGCACTGTGAAGCAGGCACTTGCACTCATCCATGCAACGCCAACATCACTACCCTGACACTTCAGCATACACATACACCCTGGGCCTCAGGGCTAAACATCCAAGCCTGGCTTCCCTGGACACATGCAGGCATACAGCCCACACGTTGACCCACACATGCACACTGTGTACATGAGATGAAGCTTCAAAGTAGAGAGGGAGGCAGGATTCTGAGTCCCCTTAGCTTCTGGGTCCTTTTCCGGGAACCTTGGGGAAAGAGGCAGCAGAGAGGCGTGGGGGCAGGGAGGAGAGAGTCCCTGAGACAGAGCCCCCATCGCGGGTCGAGAGAAGGGGGTGTGTCTGTGAGGCTATACAGGGGAGATGGTGTCTCCGCGGGAAATGCTATGGGAGATTGTAGCCAAGTTCAGCCGTGTCCGTGTGGGTCCGTGTATGAGCGTGTGCCCGGGCCGTGTATGCTCCCAACACAGCGCCTACCTGGCATTGTGACAAGTGTAGAGAAGAGAAATGGGAAGGCGGGGGTGGAGGGGTGGAAGGACCTACAGACAGTGAGAAAGGCGAGCGAGGTTGGCGCGGAAAGACGGCAAGGCTGACACCCGGCTGGCTTGTCTGTCTGTCTCGCACTCCCGCTCTGTCTGGCGCACTCGCGGGTCGCGCTTCGTCCCCTCCCCCGCCGCGCCTGAAGCCGGATCCGGGTAGGGCCTCCACCCGTACCCCCCGCCCCAACCCTCACCCAACTTGCGCTGGGAGAGTGCCAGTCCTGAAGCGAGCAGTCTGTCTGTCCGCTTCGCCCACGCCGCGCAAAGTTGGGACATTCGGAGCTGGGGGCGGGGCGGGCGCACAGATCCTCTAGTACTCTGGGACCTTCGCGTAGAGGACCCCCAGCGCTCGCGCCTCAGCCCCGCAGCCCTTACCTTCCTAAGAACCCAAGGGCCAAAGAGCAAGAGGAGCCATTCCGCGAGCAGTCGCATCTTCCCGGGCGGCGGAGCTGGGCGGTCAGGGCGGG